AAACTGGGAGGAGCGACGGCTACAATGGATCCTCCTGCGGGCTTTGTGCGCGTTTGGAATCCAGCTGTCGCCGCCTCCCAGAGCCCCCGGTCCCCGAAGGGCGCGCATTTCCGGGCCGCCCACCGCCCCGCTCGCCTCGGTAGCGGCTGTCCCGGCAGAGTCGAGAGCCGCCCCCGCCCGCTCCTTGGCCGTCCGGCCCCAGTCGCCCGCCGAAATGCCAGTCGATTTCACTGGGTACTGGAAGATGCTGACCAACGAGAATTTCGAGGAGTACCTGCGCGCGCTCGGTAAGCCCCTGCCGCCGCGCTCGGCCCCTCCTGAACCCGCGGCAGCCACTCTCAGCCGGGGCGAGCCGCCGCCCGGGGCGTCCGTGGCCACGGCTCAGGGTGGCTTGTAGCCTGCGAATTGGAGGGTTGGTGGTTGTCAGGGTTAATTGGTGGCAAATGTCTCATAGTTGGCTCTGGACTTGGGTAATTTCATCAGGAAAACTAGACTTGGTTTGCTAGTGTTTGTTTTAAAAGGGTGAGCACAAGGGCAGAAAACTTTGCTGCAAATAAAGGCGCAGACGGGCTGCGCGCCATTAGACAGCGCAAAGCCGTTGGGAAGCCCTAATGGTGTTCTGGACCAAGCGGGCTCCCGGGGCCTCTGCTGCCCTGGAAACGGTTCTCTGAGGTTTCCTTGCCAACTTTCTGCCCCTCTCTGCCCCTGCACCCCCTGCAGATGTGAATGTGGCCTTGCGCAAGATCGCCAACTTGCTGAAGCCAGACAAAGAGATCGTGCAGGACGGCGACCATATGATCATTCGCACACTGAGCACTTTTAGGAACTACATCATGGACTTCCAGGTCGGGAAGGAGTTTGAGGAGGATCTGACTGGCATAGACGATCGCAAATGTATGGTGAGGACTCTCGAGCGTCCCCAGTGTCTCTGCCCAGGGGGCCTGGCCAGGGGCTGGGTTAATCTGGGAGGGGAGTAAGGACCCTACCTGCTCTCAGGGCCGGGGATCTTCCCACCCCCACGGTAGGCAGTGCCGACTCCTCAGGCATCCCCTCTATCGACCGGATGGTGAGAGTTAAGAAGACTGCCGTTTGTTGGGTCTCCACTGTGTCCAGGCACTGGGCCAAGTGCTTTATACACATGACTTCACCTAAATCTCACAGCAGCCTTTGAGGGAGATATGAGTACGCCCATTTTACAGATGAGAAGCAGTCGCAAAGAGATGAAGTAACATGCTCAGAGTAGCAGAGCTAGGGAGGGGCTAGGCTGGAATCACAAGCAAGTCTGTCTGACTCTGCAGTCTGAGCTTTCTCTTCCGACTGCACTATCAGCTGGCGGACAAGGAGGGAGGAGGAAAGAAACAAGAAACACACCCCCTTTGAAGTGTAAACTTCCCATATGGCCTGGCAGGAAGCCACTCTAGGAGCAGGAAGCCACTCTAGGAGCAGGGAGCCCTATGTTCTCTGCCTGAAGCCCTCTGATCGTCTGTCCCACCCCCTCCTCTTCCCAAAGGCGGGATTTGGCTCCTGGCCACTATGACTTCTACCGCCCACAGTGCTTCCTTTAACTGGTGCAACCTACCTTCTCCGTTCGTTCGAGCTGCTGCCTCATAGGCTGCATGGGGGAGGAGGGAGGGGAACCAGCCTAGCCTCCCGACAAGGGTGGGAAGCTGGTGACCGGGAGACCCCAATTAGCACTGCCACGACGGACTCTGGAAGGCCGGCCACAGGCCTTCAGCCACACTCCTGGGTCACTAGGAGGTCAGGACACTCCTGGTCTCCTTTTGTGGCCTTGGGTCCAGAGCTAGCTTATGCCAGCTCCCAGGAAGCTGCCTTGCTTATAGATGGTGCCCTTCCCTACTCCCACCCTTTACCGTGCTGTGCGCCCTGCACGATGCCAGTTACTTTACATCACAGCCCAGTGAGGGAGGGATTCGTAACCCCATATCGTGCAATGACTAATGCTCGGACCCAGGAGGAGACTTGCTAGAGACGGAATTTGAATCTTAGGCCTTTTGACTTTGAAGCCCACACCCCTGCTCTCTGCCAGGCTCCTCTCTGCTGGTAGCCTTTGCGGAAACAAGATGGGTGAGGTTTGTTAGCACTGTGATTGAAGGCGTCCCGCTGCTGTGTGGGAATAAGAAGCCCCAGGCCTGGACGACTCATCTCCCCCACCGTGTTTATTCATCAGGAGTTGGTATCTGAGTCTGCTGTTTGGAATGATGGAGGAAGAGGGGGTGGCCAGCAGGAATGTCCTTGGAGGGGCCGCTAGTGGGAGAAACCACTGTTGTTGTAGGGAAATGGCAGGTTGTGCCTTTAAAAGGCTCAAGGCCTCTAATCTGCTGGAGAGGCTCGCAGTGGGAGAGGAGACCTTCAGACGGGCCTGCCTTGGTGAGGTCGGGCCCTGTGTTTCTGACCACCGCCCAGGATCTATGCCCAGGCTTGCCGTGTGGAACTCAGCGCCGTAAGATCAGTCTTTGTCCCCAGCTCATTCTTGAGGTATCCACAAAGCACATCAAACATCTCTGTTTATTTTGGGTCAATGTGACTTCTGGAATGTGCTGACCTGTGCTTGGCTACTTCACTCTTTCATTCCTTCCCTCATCCATTAGTGGGTGAAACATTTATTGGTTACCTAATAGTAATACTGGCTAATACTTTTCAAGTGTTTACTACGTGCCAGGTGCTATTCTAATTTTCTCTGAACTTCATCGTCTTGACATGATTCTCAACCCCATTTTACAGATAAGGAACCTGGAGCAGGGTGACTTGCTGTGTGGCCTTGGGCAAGTTAAGTAAGTGATGGAGGGGGTGTTGAGTTGGGTCCAGCCAGCTCCAGAGTCCCTTTGTTGCCACTGCTGTCTGTCTGCTGCTTTTCGTCACCTGTGCTGGGCACTGGGCACTCTGCTAGCATGCTGCCATCCCCGATGTCCATAACACAGTGTGATCAGTAGTGACGAAGGGCAGCATGGGGGATCATGATAGCACAGAGGAGGGCATTCCAGAAGGATTTCTGGAGGAGGTGACTTCTGAGCTTAATTGTAAAGGACAAGGAGGGTAGGAAGGGAGTGTCTCGGAAGTGAAGGAAGCAGCATGTGGCCACCTTTTCTACATCTAGCACCAGGACTGGTAGGCGAGCAGAAAAGGAGCCCACAGCTGGACAAACTAGGTGGACCTGGGCTAGGGCTCATGGTCACCTCTGCTGCCCCAGGGCCCAGAGTGGCCCACTCCCAAGTAGACAGCCACTCGCTCACCTTGTTTGTTGCCTACTGGAGGGACAGCCCCTCCACTCAGAGCTTCCCTTGACCACCCTTCTCTCTGGGCCACCCCACTGTGTGCTGTGCAGCTTTGGACTGTTGTAAGGAGCATGAGTGGAGAGCGTGTAGGATAATAGAATTATAGAAATGGACGAGCCTGGGGTTTATGAATGCCTGAGGGAAGCTACGTGCCAAGAGGCCACATCGGCTGAGGATTCTGAGGGTCCCTGGGAGTCCTGGGCAAGGTGGTTGCCAAAGACAACTTTCACCACTGCCCCTTCAGCCCCATGCCCTCTGTACCCAGAAGCCAGGAGCAGTGGCAGGGAGGAGGGCAGTTCTCAGCGTCAGATTGGCCCCATTCTAATGCCTTCTTCCCAGTGTGGTACAGTATCATTCCTCATGTGCTACTCTATTTTTGTATCCCTGGGTGGTGCAAATGGTTAATGCACTCAGCTGCTAACCAAAAGGTCGGAGGTTTGAGTCCACCCAGAGGTGCCTCGGAAGAAAAGCCTGGCGTCTACTTCCAAAAATATCAGCCACTGAAAATGTTATTGAGCACAGTTTGAGTCTGACACACTTGGGGTTGCCATGAAGCAGAATCAATTCGATGGTACCTGGTTTGGTGTTTTTTGTTTATTTGTTGTTGGTCTATCTTTGCAGCCCCCTGCCAGGGAGAGGGGTGTTTCGAAGAATCTCACATGACTCCTGCCCTCACAGAATTCGGGGTAGTGGGAGAGCCAGTCGTAGTGTGATATGATAGTGTGTTGGGAGGTCAGAGAAGGGTCCCATCAGAAGTAAGATCTAAGCTGTAACTTGAAGGATAGATAGGAAGTTGCCAGGCAATCAGAAAGGGGATGAGAGGAAGGACAAGGCCAAGAGAACAGCATTTGCAAATGTTCTTTCAGACCTGACCCACACCAGCCCTGCCCTCAGACCTGAGGCACGGAGGCAGCAAGGCCTCACGGCATGCCCACGGAGCAACGGTGGCAGATGCATCTTCAGGCTGTTATAGCTCAGAGGTGGAAACACAGGGGGCTGAAGAGTGCACAGTTGGGGAGTAGTCAGGGAAGGCACCCCGGAGGAGGTGATAGGCTGAGCAGAGCCTTGAAGGACAAGTAAGAATTAGGGCAGATGTGGGCAAGGGATAACAGCATTCCAGGCAAAGGGATCCACATGCACAAAGGCCCACAGGTGAGAGAAAGCCTGGTTAGAGGAAGGGGTTGGTGGTGAGAGGGGTGTAGTCTGCCAAGACTTAAGTGTGGCTGTACTCCACAGTGCGGCTGAGGAAAAGGAGAGTGAAGAGAACTGGACAAGGAGCCTAGATGTGCCGACAGGCAGCCGGGAGCCTTTGCAGAACTGTATGCTAGGAGAGGCGTGATGAGGCAGACATACGTACTAAAGGGCCCAGAGGGTCCCTGGCTCAGAGAGCTCTCATCCTGCCTCTTTTCTGTGGGAACCTTATCTGTGTTCTAGAACAGCAGCCAGAGGGCGAAATCTGGCCTACAGACATGTTTTGTTTGGCCTGCATGATGTTTGAAAATTTTCAGGAACAGTTGCTGGTAATTGCCAAAGATTGGAAAATTTCATAGACAAATCTGAATTTTTGGCTGTTCATACAAAAAAGAAAAAGATCCAGATTGCTGAAAACACTGGGCACCCGTTTATTCCTATGTGATGTCAAGCCCTAGAGCACTGTGCAGCTGCTTGCTTTGGATGCGACACTCCAGTTTTCCGCAGCCCTCACCCCACCCTATTGCCTGAAGCTGAGGATCGAATGGCCAGTCATCATTGTTTGCACTCTGGCTCCCTTTAGAGCATGGCTCTCAAAGCATAGACCGGCATCCGAGGAAGCTTGTTAGAGATACAAATTCTCCAGCCACACCCCTGACCCACAGAATCAGCAGCTCTGGGAGCTGGGCTGGCAGTCTCTGTTTCAGTAAGTCCTGCGGGTGAGTCTGATGCAGCTAAAGTTTGAGAAACACTGTCAATCTCTCTTGTCTGCATCTCTATAAAAGGTGGGAAAATGAGACAATTAGGTGGAGACGGCCAGGTGCCCCTGGCCGGTTTAGTCCATCATCTGACCCCAGTGGACACTGCTGTCCATGGCCAGAGCCACCCAGATTCACTCTGGTTGCTCCCAAGACTAAGGCGTGGAGAGGGTCAGACCTGTGGAGCCCTGGACCACACAGGTCACCTTTCCAGTCTGGTCTGTGTCTGTTCAGATTTTCTATGACCCAAGAGCAGCAGGGGCTATCATTTTGGTAAAAATGGTGGCTGCTGGATTCAAGAGCACTTTTCTCCAATGCCTCCTGCATGGCTCTGTGCATTAAAATGGGATATGGGGCCCAGGTGGAGACCACTGTCGTTTACTGGCTATAACAGATGGGGGCTTGGGCAGGATGGGGCCCTTGAGAAAGGAAGGTGCTCTTCACCTTCAAACCGTGTTCCCCATTCCTGGGCAAGGAGGTCCCTTGGAATGTTCTAGTTCTTTGCCCCCAACTCCCCCCAGCATGAGCAGCCTTGTGGGAGAAGACTGAGCCTCGGTCAGGAATCATGAGCCTGACTCTGCATGGTGGTGGCAGAAGGGCCATTTGTCATTCACTGTGGACATTGGCTCAGGTTTTCCCTGGAGGAGGTGGCTTTGT